ATATGTTTATTAAATAAAGTCTAATGTTACAACTAATCATGGATCCCTTTAAGAAAGAAAACCCTCTCACTCTGATCTTTGTTTATTGAAACAGTTTGAAATTAAACTCTTCTTCATCTCTGATAGTGACTCAAAATGATCTAAAGAAACCTCAGATTCGTCTCTACAGTCACATTTTATCAACGCTCTGTTTACATGCAGACACGCCCCTTTGACATCACTTCCTGTTGCTTTACATGCAAATATCTCAACAACCGTTCATCTCAGCGGCGTGGAATTTGTTTTGCAATATGTTATCAGTGTTACTTTTCCAAAAATGAATCCAAATTTATGACAAAAAATTTGAAGTCACGGACCCTTTAAAGGTCTGTTGGGGGCGTGGCAGCAAGCGGGCCCTGCGCCTCTTTGAGGGCCGTGTGACGGGAAGCAGTGGAGACGCTCCGGTGGCCGGCGCTCAGCACAGAGGTGTTTGATGGATGCAGGTGGACACAGCAGCGGGTGGATGAGACGAGGACACGGGGGACACTGAAACAACGCGCCGACGACGGGTGACGATGGAGAGACGGTGAGTTTCGGGGCGTGGCAGCTGCCTCTTTGAAAGAACTTACAACCAGCTCTTTGTTTTGTTGTTTAGGAGCTGAGGGAGGAGTTTCACGGCTTCATTTTTCTGACTGGTTGTGCTTCAAACGGAGCAGACGGATGAGAGAGGACGGGCGCAGGWGACGGAGGAGCGAACATCAGGTGCAGCAGAAGCCATGTGTGGAATGGAGGCACAAACGAGAGATGCATGCACGAAGAAAGCACGCGAAGGCCAAGCAGACGAAACGACACGGACGCAGCCGGCTCTCCTCTGCTCCACCTCCTCTGCCCGTCTAAAAGCCGAAGTCGAAGACGATGCGGTCTTCGAAGATGGCGATTAGCAACATGATGCTGAACCCGGTCATCATGCCTACGTTCTGCAGGATAAAGTGTCCRAAGTGGCAGCGCTTGTGCTCCTCGCTGTCCCCGTGGAGCATTTCTGGCAGCTGTGGAGGACATGGAGACAGTTCAGGTTGATTAGATACATGTGCAATCACCCCTCAGGGATGACTTACCATATCCACCAGAGCCACGTAGAGGAACATGCCAGCAGTGATGGCGAAGATCCAGCTGGTGACGTTGTGCGTGTACTGACCCACGGCTGTGCCGATCAGCATGCCCACGTAGGCCATGAGGGCCGACAGCAGGTTGTACACGATGGCCTGCTTCACCGTCATCCCGGCTTTCAGCAGCACCGCAAAGTCACCTGTTAGGAACAAAACAGACACTTTTTATCTCACAGCAACAACACACAGTAGTTCTCAGGGTTCCTACAATTTAAGGAAAGTTTAATTTAAAGGCTTTTTAATGCCAAGTGAAATTAAATTTAAACACAAATGACAAAAAAATTAAAACTGCGGCAGAAACTCGTGAATCAAAGTATTTTTGGTTGAATTATTCAAATATTGCCAACAGACCAAATGTTTTGATCCATATCTAACTACAGCAGAAACATAGTCAGTTTTAAAATTAATTTAATTTCTGGAAATCCTCTAACAAACCAAAATTTGGTGTTTTATGACCCACAGTGGGGTCTTAACCCCAATTTGCTGTAGATGAAAAATTAAAGTGCCCGTGACATCAATTTTTTTGTAAGAAATACGAATGCATTTTTGGAAAAACAACATTATTAACATGTTACAAATCAAATTTCACTTTGTTCAGATAGACAGTTGTTGAGATATTTGCATGTGAAATAACAGGAAGTGATGTCAAAGGGGAATGTCTGCATGTGAATATTAAAAAAAATAAATGTTACCAATTATTCTAATATTTGAGATGAATTACTATCATTCTGTTTACAATGTGTTAAC